CAGCAGCTCTAAAGCATCAGACTGATACTCAGCCGGCACCGGCGATAGCGAAGAGTCACTCATTGTAGGAAGCAATACAGAACGCTCAAGTGGAAGAAAGCTTCAATTATCTATTCTATTCTACGATCTATATTACCCCTCTTTGCCAAGGGCTTGGCAGTACTCGGAGTACTCGGAGTAGTACTCGGGGACTCACCGAGTACTCAAAAATATCACCTGAGTACAGTAGTACTCGGGTACTCGGCGAGTACTACTCACGGCGAGTACTACTCGGGCAACACTGATGTAATTGGTCATGCATAAATATATCGAGTTATCGTAATATCGAGTTAGAAAGTGATCTGAAGTAGACCCGAAGTAGCCCCTTAACTAAACCATCCATCCATCTAACGTGCCTTGAACCAAGTCTTGGCCTGTTTGGCCACTAATTGCCTCTCCATGGGCTCTAAAGAGCGCAAACATGATGCTGGATCCGTGATGCCACTATTTTTAGATTCTGAGAACTCAATCAGAACTTAGAGGGCTTGTATAGCATTCTGTGTAGTGAGCAAAGGACGCTAGGGCTCCTCATCATCATCATCTTGAGCATCAGATGTAATGGTGGGTGCACCAGATGTGAGAATCTAGCCACCCAAGGAAGGGATGATTTTACTAAGACAACACACTGTCTTAGGAAACAGAGCCAAAGAGTTGTAGCTTAGACTATTCCACAACGCAGCAATCAAGTATATGATGTAGTGGAGTGGTTTAGACAAGTTGTAACAAATGTTGAGTCTGAGAACTCAGGGATAAGTCAGAGGTTAGCACCTCACTGACTTTTCAGAAACAAGAAGTAACAAGATCAATGCTTGGAAGCTTGGAAAAGACGTGGAATTATGTGATAGTCGATTTACTGTATTGTCTGCTTGCCCTTTCTTAAGGAAAGGGCAATCCTATTTATGCCAAAGGAGTGTAGTTCTCTCATTTTCCATGACTTTCCATGACTAACCAGGCTTGGTAAGTGTGTTAGAAATCAAGTGCGACCCACAACTAGCTTGCTAATCATTAATCATGTAGTGAACGTAAGAGAATCCCATAGAACCATCTCTTGGGTTCCTAGCCTATAGGAAGTAAAAGGAGGTCCAAGGTCAGAGTTGTTACGATTACAGCTCACAGCTTGTCACAGCTTGTTACGGTTGTTACGGTTGTTACGGTTGTTACGGTTGTTACGGTTGTTACGGTTGTTACGGTTGTTACGGTTGTTACGGTTGTTACGGTTGTTACGGTTGTTACGGTTATTATGGTTATTACAGTTGTTATGGGGATTACGGCTGTATCCTTAGCCACAAGTGTCATACTGACATTCGTTGCACTCAGTTTGCTATCAAACTCAAGAGCAAACTTAGAAATCTCCTCCTCAAACCTACAAGTCACTATACATATTTTGGCTTGTCACACCAACAACAAGAGCAATACTACTCAACGATTGCTACAACCCTCTATGATTCATTACACATCATTGCTCCTTAGTTACTGGGCCGATATGACCACATAGCATATCTCTACAACCCTCTATGATTCATTACATGACATCCTTAGTTACTGGGCTAATACTACACATGACATATCTCTATCAACTAGAGGCCTAGGAACATGAACGATAGCTCCAAAAGCTTCTACAACCATCTATGATTCATTACATGTCATCGCTCCTTAGTTACCCACGATTGGTTAAGTTATGACATAATTTGTCTATAGTGGTACTCTGACCTTGGACCTCCTTTCACTTCCTATAGGCTAGGAACCTAGGAGATGCTTCTATGGGATTCTCTTACGTCGACTACAGTTACCAAGCCTGGCTAGTCATGGAAAGTCTTGGAAAATGAGAGAACTACACTCCTTTAGCATAAATAGGATTGTCCTTTCCTTAAGAAAGGGCAAGCAGACAATACAGTAAATCGACTATCACATACTTCCACGTCTTTTCCAAGCTTCCAAGCATTGATCTTGTTACTCCTTGTTTCTGAAAAGTCAGTGAGGTACTAACCTCTGACTTATCCCTGAGTTCTCAGACTCAACATTTGTTACAACTTGTTGTTACGGCTATAGTAACATGATGTCATGGTTACAGGGCCAGGGCCTAGTAACGTGACGTGTGAGTCACATAACGTGACGTGTGAGTCACAGTGGGAAGCGGGGTAGGCTGCCATGTGACGGGGCTAATGGATAGTTGCAGAAACTAGTGGATATTGGATAGTTGAGCTATCCACAAACTATCCTGAATATCTAGCTATCCGCCAACTATCCAGATTACCCATGAGGCACGACGCCACTATATAAGTAGATAGTATTTCCTTAGATAGGAGCTTCGTGCTCAACTCAATACAATATTTGTTATATACTAGTAACGTGTTACTTGAAGCCTTTGTGTCTGATCCCCTGCCTCCTCTGATAAGTAAACCTTTACGCAAGAGAACCTCTGTGTCTTCTATCATTTAGAAGTCAGCGTTACACTTGTCTAAACCAGTCCACTACATCATACACCTGATTGCTGCGTTGTGGAATAGTCTAAGCTATGACCCTTTGGCTCTTTTTCCTAAGACAGTGTGTTGTCTTAGTAAAATCATCCCTTCCTTGGGTGCTAGATTCTCACATCTGGTGTACCCACCATTACACCGAAACCCATCCGACTCGGTTAGCGCAGCCAAATGATCACACATGACCTCGCAGCTACCCGGAGTCTGCTCCTTAGAAGGCATCCTTACACATTTAGCGAATCTGCTATAACAAATTAATTCATCTAAGCCTTCTTATTCTGCCTCTAAACCCCACCCATTGCCCTACATTAACGTGTTGTAAAGCTCAAGGCTTTTTAGCCTTTCTAATAAACCAAAGAGGAAGTCGATCTGTTCTAGTAGCATTAACACTAATGGCTACTAATATGCATGCTTTGTCCTTCTTCTGTCCTAGAATTGATCGTGTTATAAAGCCCTTTGAAGGTCTCATCCTCTAGTAAAGCCCAGTCTCATCTATGTTGTAAATATTATCCTCTAAAAACTCCCCTATAATAGTTTGTATAGCCTTCATTTGTTCTTCTGTAGTGACACTAATAGATCTAGCTTTGCCGTATAGAGTTCGATATAATATATTATTATGCTGTTGTCGAAACTTTACAATCCATCCGTACTAAATTCTAGCGTAGGTAGTCTACGGTATTGTGGTAGCTGATTCTAGTTAATCTTCGCCTTTGATTGTAAGATTTCTATAGTTGTAATACTGCCACGCTCTTCAATAAGCCTCTACTAGTTGTAAAGAGCAGCTTCTAATTCAGGCTAGGCGATAGCATGGCGATGCTAAGCTTTAAAGCTGTTTGTTTCTAGAGTATTAGGAGTATCGTCAAGGTCTGAAAATTGAGAGCTAAGGGATTCTGAGACTGTAGATTAGTTAAGTTGATGATTGTATTCTTGAGGAACCACTGTATAGTGGCCTTTTGTATAGGTTTCGGATGGTGAGATCAATGCTAGGTTCAGAGGGCTTTTCGCTGTTCGAGAGTCATAGAATAGCGCTTTTTCGAAGGCATTTTGAAGGTATTCTAAGAGTAGTCTAGTAATTAGTTTAAGTCGATAATCGGAAAAAGGGACTCAATATCGTGTGTATCATGATTTGTATGAAAAATGGAAGGATATGAAGAAAGTTATCGAGTTATCTAGAAATCGACTAATCGTTTATCAACTTAACGAGATACTGTAGATTATTCCTAGATAATTAAGTAGGAATTCAACGAAGTATAAAAAGCTAGAAACATACTTTTAATATATATTATTAAGTTGTTGTTGAGTTATTATCTTCTAAATTTCTTGATTATGAGTGAGAAATTCAGTGTTCGACCCGCTTGTGTGTCCGACTCCTTTGTGAAATACGTTATAGCTTACATTGCTTCGTGTAAAGCTCCACATATGGTCTACGCCAGCAGTATGCTTCCAAAAGTTTATTATCCGGTGCGGGGATTTCTACTACCCTAGCCTCCATATGGGAGACGAGGATGGAAAGAAAGGCGGGGAAGCAATATCTTACTTAGGTTAAAAATAGTTTCGTCCAAGCTTTATGGACACGAAATTGACACGAGAACATTGCTTCGCCTTGATCGCCCTGCTCACCCCCGCCTCACCCTCGCTTTACGCTTCGGGCGGCTAGGGACCCAGACCCCGGGGTATGCCTATTTGCACTATTGGGGCCATTAATTTGATTTTATGCAAGCTTCAATATGGTAGAGCGGACGGGATGCCAAAAAGAGCTCCATTGGTCTTGGAACCACTCACGCGATATAGCAATTCGTTATCAAGTTTCCATCAACAAGGACTTTAAAGTCGTCTCATCCAGCGACAATTTCCGGTGGAGGCGGCCATGGGTGAGCTGGGTGAGCAAGGACGACTAAGGGTGAGCAAGGGTGAGTACGATGAGCAGGGTGAGGGTGAAGAGCGAAGCTCCCATCTCTACATTTCTCGGTCTTCCTTCTAGAACGATTTCCATCTCTTTCCGAATGATGCGTTAGGGAAGTGAGATGACTTTGCTGACTCCAAGATCCCGAAGCCCATCGGTATTGAAGAGACCTCTTTGCCACAGCCGAAGTGATCCACGTATAAACCGTGACAGTTAAGTTGCGCAGCTAGGCGGAATCTATCTATCAGATGCGATTCCTGGGACATTATCGGGGACACTGTTAATAACAAGGGATCGGAACCAGTTGTCGCGACTGTGGAGTATGCCTAGCTTTTTCTCATGCATCGATACGGAGTGGTGCACTGTGTTGACATAATATTTCACTAAGATAGCGATGAGACTCTGACAACATAGGATGCAAGACGCGGAAGACGATATCTCACAGTGGACAAATCAAGTAAGATCCATTGGGATTTTATCGGGATCTTCTAGCCTCATCACGTCTACATGAGTCAATATCCGTGCGATTAAAGCTATCAACGGCAATGGAAATTGATTTATTAAGAGATTTGATCTCAATACCCGTTATATCCGTCCGATATCCTTGGATTGACAATTCATACAGTGACTACTCTACAACCTCCCTTATCACCTAGTGTCCCAACCACTGGAAGGTAACAGCAACAGGGCCGGGAATCTGGGACACAATCTGTGCTGGGTTTGGCACGGCTGGGACGTACCACGCCGAGCTGCCGCCATATGCAAGAAGGCCATCGATTTGCTACATCAGAAAATCAGCACAGGTGCTAGGCATCCGTGTAACGGGGTTCTCACATGGAAACTTACGTTGAATACACTAGGTGTTGTACCCGCTGCGCAGTTGATTACTGAGTCGGTCACGGCACATGGACCTTTGCTAGTCGAGATAGTGAAGCCATTATCTATGTTTTTCAAGCATTAGTATCGTAAACAGGAGGGGAGGGCCGAAAGACAGTCGAGGACACTTACCGAGTGGGATAGCTGTGATTTTGGCGCATACTCCAGCATACCAGGTGCCAGCTGTGATGAGACAACCCTTATGGATTCCGTCGTAGTATCCCTCGAGGTAACCCGGGCCAGAAAATGTGGCGGCGGTAGATGTAGGTGAAGCACTAGTAGTAGTAGTTGGGTCTGCAGTTGTGCTGGCAGTCGTGCTGGCAGTCGTGCTGATGGTTCGAATCTCATCACAGTTATCCCAGTCCACTGGGGAGCTGTCCCCAGCATTAACTGAGCTTAAGACAGCAGCAAAGGGCAACAAGTATGTTGCAACAAGCGTGAAGGAAACCATGATGAAATACGTTGAACTCTAAAACTCAACAAAGTTGAGGGTTGTTTCTGGTGCTAAGTTGGAACATGAGAAATGCGTGTGTTTATACACAGCACAAAAATACGGGTGTTTCCAATAGATCCCAAGGCTCTATAAAACGGAGCTATTGCCCAGGTAAGCCCCACGTGCATTCCCCGAACAGTCTATTCATTAGTGTTGGGAGAAGTGTATACAGCGAAGCAAAATTGGGCTGCAACGACGATAAATTAGGAAAGGTTAGCGGCGAATCACGGCTCTCGGCACCTTATAGAACATGTACGGAGTAAGAAACATGCACGGCGATAGATAGTATACTCTTTACTATACACGTCTCCCACTGCTGAGGTGTTGGAAACTGATGAAGAGCCTGTTCGAGGAATTCACGTGGGTCAAACGAGTCAAGGGCGTCGATCCGGGATGATGCATGTGGGTGTCGTGACATATGTAGTTCGGAGAAGAGTGCGCATTTTTAGCTTCCCTCAACAGTTGGGGTATCCTGATGTCGCAATACGTAACCTGTTCAAATATTCTCATGCTCAAAGAACAATTATAAAGTCAGCAACTTATTTCACATGCGAGCTGCGCACACAAGCGAGCTGCGCATGACAACATCAAAAATTGACTATTCCTACTACTACACTACCACCACCCTACATAATGGCTCTTATTCAATTGCAATTGATTCCTGGCGCCTCTCGCACGTACGGGCATTATGTTCTATAGTACCATATGTGCCACAGCGCCGCTGTGGGCCCTTAGAGCCCACCTGCCGACTACTCTCACTTGCCACCTCCGTTCGGACTTGAGCATCAACCTCGGCACTCTAAAGGATATCCTCTCCATCTCGTACGGAGAGACTACCCCCTTGCATTATACGCCTCTTGCGCTTTCTTTCCCTCCTGTTTTTCTGTTCATTTGCCACTTGTAGAGCCTTAACTTCTGCCTTGAGTAGAACAACAGAATACATCATAACCTAAGCTCTTTTAGCAAGCCGGCTTAGTGCGTTAATTGAGCTAGGAGAGCTATTCTGATGCTGTATAATGCGGTTCTCTGTTTGAAAGTCAAGCTCACTTATAGTTTGAGGAGACTTTGAAGTCTAATTGTTACTCTTAACTATAGGAGGAGTTGGAGTTCTTAAGTGTAGATTTAAGTAAGAGAGAACATTCTGCGGGTCGTACGGAACTAGTCCTGTAGCTCGGAACCCACTCTTAATGTTCTGCTCTGTAAATGCAGCTTTGAATGCTTCTTTAAATGCAGAGAGAAACTCAAGCTTCGTAATATGGTTTAGCTGGTTTCGTATGAAGGTTTCAATCTAACGTCTGTACCAAAGCTTTAGCAGAGCAAAGCAGCTAACATCAAGTGGCTGAAGGATGTGCGAGGAGTGTAGTGGGACAGAGGGTGATTATCTTCCGTTCTGTACAGTAGTGTTGAAATTGAGCTAAGAGGTGGCTCTTATGTCCATTAAGAATGAGAAGGCGATAGGTTCCGATTGAACGACTGTTTGTATGTCGATCGTAGTGTTAAATCCACTCATACCTAATTGAATTTGAAGTCCACCCATTCTCACTTAGTGTAATTACCCAATCATCTGGTAATCCCGAGTCCTCGTACTAAGCAGAGAGGTGATTCTACGCCTTGAAAATGATGAACGGCAGAAGTGCCCATCCGTATAAATTGACACCTTAGATAATTGACACCTACTCTCTATTCCCTAGCTGTATAGTCTTCGGACAGCTCTTTGCTTCTAAGCTTGTAACTACCTTTGCAGTAGTAATAACTCCTATTACAAAACCTACTTCATCAAAGTTGTAGATATCCTGCTCTAAGATGCCATATTTTGCGACTATGTTTCGTACGAGAGAGAACCACCCTTGAGTTATCTTAGGATCTTCACATTTTGCTCATTTATAATCGTACTTCCAACTGAACTTTGCTTTGATTTCCGTACGACGCTTAATGAAGTTGGTAGTCTAGTTCTTCCTAATAGGGCTCTCGCCTCGTTTAGAGAGTAGAAGGTTAGCAATTTCTTGTACGGCTTGTGGCTAGGGTGAAAATCCACATGAGTCTAGGTTGAGGATGTACCAAACGAGAGCTAACTCTTCGTACAGAGTCAACTTACGTGAGTTAGCGGTATAGTTGCGTCAGGAAGATATTCCATTCATTCTGCTAGCGAGAGTTCTAGGTGATACATCGTACGACATTGCAGCGGCTCGGACACTATTAAATTGATGTTGTTTAAGTGCTTGAATAGCTGATAGTATTCTACCCTCTCGATTAGAGGATTTAGCTTGTGTTGTCTGCTGTCAAGTTGACGCGTTTTGGTGTTGTCGTGCGTAGCTCGCTTGTGCGCAGCTCGCATGTGAAATACGTTATTTCCTTGCCAAGATAGTTGCAGGAAGCTTGTCATGGGAGGAGGTCTAGCGCCACATACATCCAAGCATTTATTGGCAACCGAAATTGGTGGAGAATGCCGTTTGCTTTGCACCCCTACACCCCACGTTCACCACAGCTCACCTCTGATTGTCTGCCGGCTGTACCCGATCTTGAGCTTCGATATCATTCTTCGATTAGTGTAGAGGCTAGAATAATTTATTGGCTTAGCATCTAGCAGTTGGTAATAGTCCTTGTCGCTGACAACAACCACTGACCTGGTTTTCTTTCCCTTGGATAGAGCTTCTCGTAAGGTATAGTGTATGTACCCTTCGATATATATATACACAATGCAAGTTGGCTTCAATTCCTCGGGTTTTTTTTGTCGCGCGCAGAGTTTGTTCTATACTCTCATTTCAATTGTCCGGCAACTTGGGATCTCTTGAACCAGTCCTTTCGTTTGGCATCATTGCCACTGTCACTCTCTACATCTACGATGAAAACAACAACAGCGCTATTTGTACTCGGCGCACTGTCGACAGCGACGAACGCAGTGCCAGCGCCTGTGGTTGATACTGTGTATCCGTATACCGGCCCCGATGTCCCTATTGGCGACTGGGTTGACCCGACCATCAATGGCAATGGCAAGGGCTACCAACGCCTCGTTGAGCCTCCTGCTGTCAAACCGGCTTCGGAAAACCCCACGAACAATGTCAATGTCATATCATTAGCATATCTTCCAGATGGGATGAACATCCACTACCAGACTCCGTTCAGTTTAGGTGTTGCCCCATCTGTCAAATGGGGTACTGATCCTAACAAGCTGTACAAAACTGCAACTGGAAATTCTCACACGTATGTTAGCTCTCCTTCACTTACGTTGAGCCATACAGTATTCTGACGTTGGATTGATGTTTAGATATGACCGAACTCCACCTTGCTCTCTTATTTCCTCTGTCACCCTATGTAGCCAATGGTTCCACGAGGTCCCAATCAAGAACTTGCAACCAGGCACAACGTATTATTACCAGATTCCTGCTGCCAATGGTACCACTGTTTCGGATGTCGAGAAATTTACTACAGCTCGTGCTGCAGGACAGGAAGGCGAGTTTTCTGTGGCTGTCTTAAACGACATGGGGTATACCAATGCCGGTGGAACACTTACGCAGATGAGCCTCGCCGTCGACGATGGAGTTGCCTTTGCTTGGCACGGTGGAGATATCAGTTATGCAGATGATTGGTACTCCGGTATCATTCCCTGCGAATCCAGCTGGCCGTTGTGCTATAACGGCTCTTCTTCCCAGTTCCCTGGTGGCGTGGTCGACAACCCGGATTACCTTGAGCCACTCCCCGAGGGAGAGGTTCCCACCCAAGGAAGCCCACGCGGCGGTGACATGAGCTCCCTGTACGAGTCTAACTGGGATCTTTGGCAACAATGGGCCAACACCATTACTACCAAGGTGCCTTACATGGTTCTGCCTGGTAACCACGAAGCAGCATGTGCCGAATTTGATGGCGGCCATCACGAATTATCTGCTTACCTCAACGATAACAAAGCAAACTCAACTGGCAACTCTACAAACTACCTCACTTATTACAGTTGTCCAGAATCCCAGAGGTAAGAACTGACAACGAATTTTATACTGCTTGTATTATCTTCAAGATGGCACATGCTAATTATATTAGAAACTTCACCGCCTATATGAACCGCTTCAAAATGCCTGGAGATGAAACTGGTGGCGTAGGAAACTTCTGGTACTCCTTCGACTACGGCCTTGCCCACTTTGTTTCTATCGACGGTGAAACAGATTACGCGTACAGCCCTGAATGGCCCTTTGTACGAGACCTTAAGAATGGCGAATCTCACCCTCTGAAGACGGAGACCTATCCTACAGATAGTGGACCTTTTGGCAGAATCGATGGCACCTGGCAAGATAATACCGGATACGAGCAGTATCAGTGGTTGGCAAAGGATCTTGCTAGCGTCAACCGTACCAAGACTCCCTGGGTCATTGCCATGAGCCATCGTCCAATGTGGAGTTCAAGCACCTCGTCATACCAAACGTATATCAGAGCAGCTTTCCAAAATCTGATGCTCCAGAATGGTGTGGACGCTTATTTGTCTGGCCATATTCATTATTATGAGCGTATGTACCCTCTTACGTCTACTGGAGCTGTCGACTCAGGCTCTGTCATCAACCAAAACACCTACAGGACCAATCCAGGTGTTTCGATGACGCATATTATCAACGGCATGGCTGGTAATATCGAAAGCCACAGTATTCTATCTGGAAAGATACAGCCCAAGACCGCTGTCCTTGATATGACACACTACGGATTCAACAAGCTCACCTTTTTCAACTCTACTGCAATGAAATTCGCCTTCGTGCTTGGAAAGGATGGCTCTATTGCTGACGAAGTTACTTTGCTTAAGCCTAACGCCAATGTCAGTTCTACCAGCACCTCTGCCTCTGCCACTGCCACCACAAGCGGCCTTACCACGCTCACTAGCGGTACCAGCACGAAGACCTGCATTCTCAGAATGTAAGTTTCCATCCCGTTTCGGAACTCTGTTCGCTCTCTAATTTCCAATCACCACAGATCTTCAACGACCATTGGTACTGCTTCTACCTCCGGACCGTCCTCTCCTAATACCGTCGATTCTTCCACAACCGATACTTCACCTCCTACTACCGTTCATTCTTCCACAACCGAGACTTCCTCTCCTACTGCAGTTGATTCTTCCGCATCCGAGACGTTGTCCGGCGCTACTGATACCGCGTCGTCCTACACATCCTCAACGGTTTACACTACTGTCACATCTATCATCTCTTCTTGCAAACCAACGGTTACAAACTGCCCTTATACCACGGCTCCTATCACTGTAACAGATACCATCATCGGCTACACAACTTACTGCCCCGTTAGCGGATCACCTACCGGAACCGTCCTTCAGACTATCCATGCTCAGGCAGCCACCAGCGATGTTCCATACACGACGTCTACTGTCTACAAGACAACCACGTCCACTATCAGCTCCTGCGCCGCAACAGTGGTAGACTGCCCATACACAACTGTCCCATTTGTAGCTACCGTTGTCGTTGTTGACTACACCACTTACTGCCCCGTTGCAACTGCTTCCGCAACTACCCCTAAAGGGAGTGTCGAGGCCGTCCCTGTCGCAACTTCTTCCGCAACCACTCCTAAAGGAAGTGTCGAGGCCGTTCCCGTCGTAGGTGGCTCCGCAGCTACCGCTAAAGGAAGTGTCGAGACCGTCCCTGTTGTCGGTGGTTCCACAACCACTCCTAAAGGAACTGTGTTTTCAATGTTATGGCAATGCTTCCAACTCATCGTCGATCGCAGAAATATAGCGAATTAGGCACTTTCGGGAGAAGCACTTGAAGGATCGAAGGTGCCATATGTGTAGCGAAGATCTACTACATGAGATACATCGTCTTGTTACCGAACGAAATTACCACGTAAAAGAAACCGCATCGGACATTGATACCAATTAACGAAACGCTTCATTATCATGTAGTATGCGATCGCTATTGAAATACAAAAAGCTAAAAGACTGCCTCTCATAGAACACGTAAACGCTTTGCATCTTCGCGTGGTCGCTTTAGAACTGGCCTACATCTTAATGTAGGTCGGTGAAAGTCGATAATTAATGCCCGCCCAAGTTCTTCATTCCAAAGAACATTTTCAGGCCGAAGGTCTTCGTGGACGATTCCCAAGGCTTCGATGTCCTTATTCGATTTGTGAATATCTCTAAGAAGCCCCGGAGTCAGTTCCATCGTTGCAATGCTATCGCCCCCCCAGCCCATGACGAGCATGTGACGGATCTCCCCAACCCCATGAAGATTTTTTTTTTTTGCCAGGTCGATTGTACCGAGGAAGACAGGAACAGCGGATGCTTGAGCCTTCTGCAGGATTTGATATACCTGCGCTTCGCGGGAGACTTCTTTCCAGAGGCCCGATGTGGTCCCTTTCCCAACGACAACATAGCCATATTTAGCACAAATGAGTTTAAACGGCACACCGTATGCCCCGCAATATCCAAGGGGCATGCATCGGTCATGTTTTCGTCCAGTTGTGCCTTTAGTAAACCCATCAAATCCTCCGAGGTGATGGGGTGTTTGATGAAATCTAGACCCCGACGATGAAGCTTCACGTTTGGACAACACTCGACTAAGATACCTCCCATCTGTACCTCTAATAAACATCTCTGGGTGCATAACTGTGCATCATGGCGTTTCGAATGGCTGCCTTGATCTTTCCCAGCCTCGGTTGATGAGCCGCTCGTTGCGAGAAGGGGAAGATGTGACTTGGCTAAAGCCTCGTTTGCGTGCGGTCGCTTGATTCGAGTCAGAGCCTGACGATTCTGGCGACTGCATCTGGTGTGGGACATCTGAGGGAGCACAGCTGGCTTGAGACCTCGTGGGCACTCGGCGACCCGCTTTCTATTTGGAAATCGAATCCTGCTAGGAATTCAATCTAATGAGCCTGCCGGTTATTAATGGATACTTTCTTCATGAAGTAAACCAGATTATTATGATCAGTCCTCACTATCACTAGGAAATTGCTATCCTGCATGTAGTGACGCTAATGATTAAAGGCCGCCATAATGGCTCTACGTCCTTAAGCATCCTTAAGTAGAAGGCAATGGGGTCGCGTCACCCCTGCTTCATCTATGTACAGCTAGGTTAGGATTGCTACAATACCCATTCCTAAACCGTCCGTCTATAACCTTATAGGCTGACTAGGATTAAAGTGGCAGAGGAGCAGAGCGGACGTAAAGGCTTCCTTTAGCGTCCGAAAAGCCTCTGCTACCTCACCGTTCTACAAGAACAGCCTACTCTTCTTTCCCTTCTTGCTCCCCTTTAGGAGCCCTGTGAGGGGTTGGGGAGGCCCAAGCCTTTATAGCGGGGGCCGACCGCAGGCTTAGGATCGACGCTGGGGCTTACTTCCCCACCGACCAGGGCAAGATCGACTTCTGCGTCATGTCCTTCGCCGCCGGGCCGGCGGCGAAGTGGGAGCGTCACGAGAGACGTGAGGGGCTGGGGAATACTACGTGGGACGAGTTCAAGGTTTGGATCATGGACTCCATCATCGACCCAGCGAACCGGAACTTTGACGCTATAACGTCCTACAACTCCGCAAGGCAAGGGGACCACCAGTCGGCAGAAGACTTCGCAGCGTACCTTGACACCCTAGAGCTGGAGCTCCGGATCGACGACGAGAAGCAGCGGAGAGACAACCTCTACGCCAAGCTAAGGGAGGAGGTCCAACGCAACCTCCTCCAACGAGACGAGGTCCCCGAGACGCGGCAAGGCCTACTATCACTCGCAACTCGGATTGAAAACGCCCACCGGTTGGCCGAGAGGCGGTCGACCCGTAGGAGGACCGACGGGGCCCTCAAGGCCACCGGGGATGACCTAGGTCGCAGCCCTTGGTCAGCGGCAAGGGCTAGAGGGGCAGGAACCCAGAGCCGCGGAAACGAGGGGGGAGCCCCGTCCGCAAGCACCAGGAGAGAGGATCCGCGGGGAGACCCAACCACCAGTCCAAACAGGACGCCAGCGGGGCCCAGAACGGACCGGCGGGGCAACGGCTGCCACGGTTGCGGGTCGGCCGAGCATCACCTGGCTCAGTGCCCCGAGGCCGTCTGCTACAACTGCAACAAGAAGGGTCACATATCGCCCAGCTGTCCAGACCTGACGGGAAAAGCGGAGTCCCGGCGGTGATATCAACCGCCTACCAACGCCGGGACAACGACGAGGTCAACCCTCAACGGCGCCGGCTTGTGATACCAATTACAGTCATGACAGCAGGCGGGGTGGAGAGAGTTGAGAGGGCCCTTATCGACAGCGGGGCTAAAGAGAACTGCGTACGCCAGTCTCTCGCTGTGGAGTGCGGATGGGAACCACAAGGCGGAGTTCAGGATGGCCTGACGACCCTCGAGGGAAGGGAGGTCTGGACGTACGGTACACACAAACTGGAGGTGAGGGCGACTGACAGTGAGGGGCGCTCGTTGACGGCCCGTCACCAGTTCGTAGCGTGCGCATTCGAGGGATTAGATGTGAACGTCATCCTGGGCTACCCATGGCTAGCGAGCACTGACCCCACGATTGGATACCAAGGGGGAACCTGGCAATTCCCGGGGAACCCAAACCCTATAGAGGAGGTGGGGCCGGAGGAGTTCTACGAGGCGGCTAAGGAGGCCGGGGGGAACTACGGCGTGCTAAGGCCCCGGGCATTAGGGCGACGGCGAGTGGGGGTGGTGATGGGTGGCCTACCCAGCATCGCAGGCGGGCCGGAAGAGGTCCACCTGCCATTGCAGTACCAACCGTACGCTGACGTCTTCGATGCTGAGAAGGCGGGGTTGCTCCCTGAACACCACCCTATGGAGCACAAGATCAAACTGATCGAAGGTAAGGAGCCACCGTGGAGCCCAGTCTACCCTCTCGGCGGGCCAGAGCTGGAGACGCTCCGAGAATACCTCGATGATGGCCTAAAGAAAGGTTGGATCCGGCGATCGATTAGCCCAGCGGGGGCCCCAATACTATTCGTGCCGAAGAAGGATGGCGGCCTCCGATTGTGTGTGGATTACCGCGGGTTAAATGCGGTGACGATACGCAACCGGACCCCCCTTCCTCTTATCACCGAGACCCTAGACCGACTAAGGCGGTCGAGAATATTCACAAAACTGGATCTTAAGGACGCCTACCATAGGATACGAATACGCGGTGGCGACGAGTCGAAGACGGCGTTCCGCACCCGGTATGGCCACTTCGAATACCTAGTCATGCCATTCGGCCTCTCCAATGCACCAGCGACTTTTCAGGCGTATATCAACCAAGCCCTCATTGGGCTGGTTGACGTTACCTGTGTGGTCTACCTCGATGATATCCTTATCTTCTCTGAAGACCCGACCTGTCACCGGGACGCCGTGATGGAAGTACTCAATAGGCTTCGGATGCACCAGCTTTACGCTAACCTCAAAAAGTGCGTGTTCGAAACGGACAACGTTGAGTTCCTAGGGTTCATTGTAGGCCCACAGGGCATTAGCATGGACCCGGCCCGGGTCGTAACCGTCCAGGAGTGGCCGGTCCCGCGGTCAATCAAGGACGTGCAAGTCTTTCTCGGCTTCGCCAACTTCTACAGGCGCTTCATTGAGGGCTATTCACGCGTGGCAGGCCCTATGACGAACCTGCTTAAGACCACAGGGGTTGATAAGGCCAGAGCCCCTTCCGTAATAAGTCTCGGTCTGGTCGGGAAATTCAGGAGTCATGGCGTAACATAGATCTATAGTAATAAATATAGTAATTGCTTGTAAATTATACGTCCTATACAAACTACACTCACATATATAAAGTACACGTGATAGCAAATATAAATGTCCCGTGACTGGTTTCTTGGCAGACCGGTGGGTACCCGTGGGTTATTGGCTTCAGACCGGCCCATGGTCTGGGTGGAAGTTTTCCACCCAGACAGACCCATGGGCCGGTCTGGGTTAGGTTACCTGGTGGGGTCGGTTACCCATGATGCACACTAGTCGCGTAGGGGTCTGTTTGTGTAGAGCCTCCCGCCACGAGGTTTAGGCGTAGAGAGCGTAGGTTACCTTAGGGGGGTTGGCCCATTTTTCGATTCCATTGGACAGGATTTATCGTAAAAAATGGTCTAATACCAATATACACCATGCTACGCAGCCAATCTATTGGCTGCGTAAGCTGTACCTAGCTACATATTCTATTGCCAAGCCTATTGTGCCACTATTCCCACTTGGCACTATTCCAACAGCCAATCATAATATATAAAGGAACACGCTTACACAATAAGGTAGTAGTAGACACTATGCTAGGAATAGTATTGAAACCAGGGTTACACTAACAGCGTTAATAAATAGACACCTGTATAAGAGACAATTGTCAGAGTTAAATAATCCCAAAAATAAACACGTGACACATTGGCAAAATACACGTGATATATGGTCAACTCTATTATTACGAGGGTATAATTAAGGAGACAGTGTTTATATTATACTAATGAAGCAAATACTATATTATTATAACCCCTCCTCGAATACGTCTTGTAAACTACGTCTACTGCTATAAGCACCGTTGGTATCATCGTCGTAGTGGTCATCGTCATCGTCATCGTCATTCTCATCATCCATAAATTGCTCAGGCCTGTCGTTACTACTTCCATCCTCGTCTGCCGAACCCCAGTCAATGTCATCCTTTAGTGTTCCAATAGATTGCTGTGCAATCTGGTCGTCTATAAGGGGCATTTTCCTCCGTCGTCCATACATATCCTTGAACTTCAATCGTTTTGGGCCGATATTAGTATGCTGGTTTCTTGGGTAGGCATCAAACCAGTTGAGGAGCACCTGTCTGGGTACCCCATTCCGAACACCATGGTTCTGTTCGAAGTCAAGGTGGAGCTTTACCTTTACAGCTAGTGACACAAACCAGTCTAATATAGTTAGCACAAAACAGTAACCACTTATAAACAACGTACATTTAATCCAGAACGGGCCTGGAGCAATTGACGCTGTTCCGTTAGGACGCAGTTCACTTGACTCAATCTTCTCGTAGAACAGTATATATCGACTTGCCCAGCAAAAGACACTCTCTGCATCAACAACGCTGTAAATAGACTCGAACACTTCAAAGAGTCGAGATAGGTCTTGTTCATTCAGCAGAAACGACATGGATGGTTTTGTAAGGGTTTTACCAACCCATTCCTGTACATGTTCAGACAAGCTACTATATTTTGGGTTGGAGGGTCATACCATCATGCAGGTAATAGTCCGGTGCTTCCAGGTATTTGTATTGCCTCTTGCTTTATAGAGAGCCTTGTCTCGAAGCGCAAAGTTCTCATCGAAGTCAACAGATAGTGTAACGTCATTTACTATAGCCTCAAGCTCCTTATCTGTTGCTCGCCCATATCGGAGGGTAAGTCGTCGTATTTCAGGATCTAACTTCTTCCTGATTTGTTTCCACGCATTGTTGTCAAAGAGCTTCGTCTGGCTAGCTGACCGTTGAAACGGTCCCATAGTGCTATTATG